ATTTCCTAAGCAATCATCTAGAATCCGCCAGAATGACTACTAGGCTGACTTATTATTTATGAGGTTTGGCAGATTTGCTCAATTTAAGTTGACCAAATTGTGAAAAACTCGCGGTGTTCGGTGGGATTTGAACCCGCATAGTAGAGAAGGCCCTTGCGCGAAGCCAATGGTCTCCCAGTTGAGCTACAAACGCCGCACCGTGCGCCGTGAATTTAATCACACTTGATCGATTTTACTCACCCAACTTACCGCTCATATAGAATCCACCATAACAAAACAGCAAGCTGACTGCCCAAGCAGGATTTCCTAAGCAATCATCTAGAATCTACCAGAATGACTACTTGGCTGACTTTATTGTACCTTAATTTATTCCAGTCGTTTTGGCCGATAGTTTAGTGTTTTGTTTGATATAGATTCCGTTCTATTATAATAGTTATACCATCTCATTAAATATCAACTGAAATTAGACAAATGTGTTTTCGACTCGAAAAAATAATACTGATATAGGGCCGTGATATAAATGATCGTGCAACCTCACCTCAGCATAAATCAGTCACATCAGAATGTCGGCTTGTAAACTAACTTCTTCCCAACCACTTGCAAGAACTGCACTCTTTGAAAAATGTCTACTTCAGTAAGATAGATATTCTCTTTTCGTCTTTACATGACTTTATAAATTCGACTGCGGGTTGCAGAAAAAATGCACAATAGTAATCTCACTTCTTCTCATTGGATAGCAAATTGCGTTTTTTTTCTTTGAATTCTGTGCTGGAATTAAGGGGTATCTTTTCGTGCTGTGTTTGTGTGACTGCTTCAGAATACACTTTAATTCGTATAGCGTTCTCCATTAACCCTTGATATGGGCTTTAGGTCCGCTGACCCATGTCGAACGGTCAGCTCTGAGGTGTTCAGAACTGACGCTAATCTGGGTAACTGTAATAAATGCCGGCAGTAGCAGTAGCATAGTCACAGTTGGTAGTCTGGACAGTGTGCATCTTAGTATAACTTTTCTGTTCCACCAATTCCCCTTCATCTCTCTACGCGTTTCTCACTGTGGAGCAAAAGAATACCTTCAAACATGAAAAACTTCGCTTGACAAAGACTTACGCTCTTCGTCCCAGGCAATGACGGTGGATAGATAGCTGTTGGCTGTGGAACAGAAGACGTAATCAAATTGCCTGCGCCGATGTGGACGGTGTAGAGTGTGTGAGTAGCTCACCTCATCCCCTTGCTCACGCTTTTCTAAAAAAAGACGCAAAAAATGCATAGATCAGCGTCTCCGGCTAAGTTCTTTCAAGATTTGTGCACACAAAACGGCAGAACTGACTTGTAGGGTCCCTCTAGATATCTATCTCCCCAACTGCTTAACGTATATTGCTGTCAAACATTTAGTTATTGGCTATTGAGCGTAAATCAATATGTAATTGTGACGGAAGTGATCAAAAAATATTAAATTAAATGAGATTGTTTGTTTTAATATGCTTAAATAGAATAAAATTCGATCAACATGAACTTCTGTCACGCAGGATAGGAATTCCAACTGACGGAATTTAACGAAAATAGAAATTCTTCCTTCTATTGGAGGAATTTAACGAAAAAATTCAAAGTGGGGCTACTGAACATTCAAAAGTAGTTTTTTTGTTATGAGTAGACGGGATTTTTGAGGCATCTAAAATCAGTCCTGCCCATAAAACATTGTTCCGCATTTATGCATATGAAAGAAACCTCGTTAGCTTACCACAGTGGGGTGATGAGAAGTTTCGACACAACTCCCGATCGGGTGTGAACATTACTACCTGAAGTGAAAAGTAATTATGTCCATTTAAACGACTTTACTGACTCTTGCTTATTTATAACCTGAAAATATACACTTTTAAATGGTTAGGAGTGTAGTCTGACCAAAGGCTAGCAACCTTGCAGGCCCTGCTGAGGCGTCGTGCATGACGCAGACTGCCACAATGATTCCTTTGTCAACAGAGGACTGCCTTCAAGGTCATATGCCTTCGCGGTGGTTAGGCCCACACGATGACTGTCCACACGCAATTACGTTAAACTGGACACACGCGCGTCAAGGCACCTGTCAAAATGGTCGCAGTTCTTCAAGGGCCAACTGGTCGCGTGACCTTATACGGCCAATAATGCCACAAGCGAACGCGCTTGACAATCACTTATAAGCCATTGTCACATCTCAGACAGTGAGTTGCAACACGGACTGCGAGGACACCGCCAGTCCGGTCCCACTGCCGGGCGAGCCCCGAAGCAGGGACATTCAGCGCGCTGAAGATCAACTAGCGGCAACAACCAGCAGAGAAAGCAATTTTGGGTTTTCTACACAATATACTCCTTTCCGGGTGGATTCCAAAGTTACGCCCTTCATATTGTATTCTTCCTTGGGAATTCCAACTGGCGTAACTAGACGGTGCCAACACCAAATTGCCACCGTTACAACACAAATGGCGAGGGTGATTTGAATACAGAAAAGGAACACCTTCAAGGCATGAAAATCAAGCCTGAATGACTTGCAGATTAAACAGACACTAGTAGCAGCAAATTCCTTTTTTGGTAGTTTCCTCTCTTCTAGGATATGCGTAATTGTGTTAAGTATTCTGACACTCTGTTCTTGTTTTCCTTCTCTTTCCTGT